GTCAAGGAGACTTTTGAACCGGGTTGTAGTTTCACTGCAACGGAGGTTCACTGGCAGTCTGTTCCACATGGTTGAGTAGCGAATAAGGAAAAAATTCTGACGTAAGTTTGTGTGGGTTCTTGGAATCGCTAGAATATTCTCCTTATTGCGTAGATTGTGGGATGATATCATAAGGTATGAAGGGGTGGATACCGAAGAGTAGGAAATACCGTTAATAAGCCGGTAGATAAAGACAAGATTTAATTTGATACGTCTGATCCAAAGAGGCTCTAAGTTGAGTTGTTGACATCTTTGGTAATAGTCTTTGTTATCGGAATACCGCAGAACAGCTTTAGTGAACCTTCTTTGAACACCTTCAATTCTAATCAGATCAGTATGTCTACAATTACTGTAAACTAAAATACCATATTCAAGAATGGGTAAGATACATTTTCTGTATAGTAACAATCTCGATTCGATATTATTGAAGTTTATCATTATCAATCCGATGAGCTTTCTAGCTTTGGATACTTGAGATATAATGTGTTCAGAAAAGTTCAGACTGTTGCTATATCTTAAACCCAGGTCACGAACAGTGTTAAGAGGTTTGAGTGTATGTGTCTGTACAGTCAGATTTAAGTTAAGACAGCGACCAATGTGAATAAATCCACTTTTGTCAACATTAAGTGGCATATTCCACGAAATAGTCCATTCGTACAACTTGTTTATTTCCTCTTGGATTACCGCTGAAATATAGCTTTCTTTCATGGGAGAAGAGAACGAATAAACTACTTTCAGGTCATCAGCAAAAAGAAAAGGCTTACCATACTGAAAGAGGGAACACACATCATTGATAAAAAGGAGAAAGAGTAATGGACCAACCACACTTCCTTGTATAACCCCGCTGGTTACATTCACAGGTTTAGAGTAGCATGATCCAAAGCGAACGATTTGGTTACGTTCTTCTAAAAAAGATTTGAGCCAAGATAAAAGGGGATTCTGTATGCCAAATGAAGAGAGTTTTAAAAGAAGAAGTTTGTGTGAGACACTGTCGAAAGCCTTACTAAAATCGAAGTAAAGAATTATCACTGACTGACCAACATCTCTTTTCTGGGTAATTTGATCAAAAAACTCCAGGTGCGATGTGAAACATGAGCGTTTAGTCATAAACCCGTGTTGGGATGGGCTGATCAGACTAGCCGAAAGTAAAAATGATAGTAGCTGTTTGTGGATGATTTTTTCCATGGTTCTTGATAGCACGGATGTCAAATTAATTGGCCTATAGTTAATAATATCACTACGTGGTCCTGTTTTGAATCTAGGGGTGATAAGGGATGTTTTCCATACAGATGGATAGGTCCCATATTCCATAGATAGATTGAAAAGTTTCAAACAAAATAGTGGAAATTCTCTACTTCCATATTTCACAAATGATGAAGGTATCCCGTCAGGTCCACCATCATAAGACTTTTTCAGGGCAGCTATGGCCTGCTTGATGTTGGAGGGTGTAAAATCAATTTTCGACAGATGTCTGGATGTCAGCATTGGAAATGTAATGATGGAGTTTCCAGTTCCAGTTTTGTAGCACTGCGAGAAGTGCTTGCTGAATTGTTCACATATAGTATTCGGGTCGTTAACAATGCTTCCGTTAACTATGAAGAATTTAGTCGTGCCAAGGGAATTTGACTTTACACGGGATTTAAAAAGCCGAAGTATTGATAATTCTGGGCTTTTACTACGTAGAGCTTTATTTTCTATATTCATAAAATACTTACGTTTAGATGAAGCATTTCTGTTGATTAATTTAAGTATACTCTGAAGTGCATACACATCATTCTGCTCGTAGTAGCGGCATTTTAATTTCCTCAGCTTTCTTTTAAAAGTATTTTGGCCCCTATTAGCATTATAAGCCACACGGCCAATAACTGGAGCAGTGCAGTCAAGACAATATATCAGGTTGTGGTATAGATTGGAAAGCGCAATGTCAACATTATTTGTGGTAAAATAAGTTTCCCATGGTAAACATTGAATGAGAGTTCCAGTCCGTTTCCATGTTTGTTGATCAAAATGTCTGCTTTGGTACATCAATGAAGCTTTAGAGTTCAATTGTATGGCGTTTAAAGAGTGAATAATACCAATACAACTCTATGGTCACTCATAAAAAACTCATGACTGGTATGTACTGAGATAGAGTCTATGTTGATTGTGAACATTAAATCAAGTGTATTATTCCCCCTGGTTGGTTTTCGGACCTGTTGAACCCATCCACAAATTTCTAATGTTTCAACTAGCTTGTTATATCGACCTGGTACCGGAGTCAAGCCCCATTTAATTTTTGGCAGGTTAAAATCGCCTCCGATGATTTTAAAAGTATGCGGTTGGTGCGAAGCAATGGAAAATATGTTTGTTAGTAATTTGTCAAACTTAGTATCCGCATGAGGTGGTCTATATATGCATCCCACAAGTAAATAATTTTGGGATCCACAGTTTACAGTAACCCAAGTGGAGTCGTCTATAGCATCAAGGGATTTATCCTCAAATTTGCACGCTTGAATGTCTGAACGGACATAGATAATTGTACCGCCTCCTATTCCATAACATCTATCGGTTCTAAAGAAAACGTAGTTATCTACATTCAAGGAATGATCGGATATAGATGAATTACACCACGTTTCCGTAATAAGTACAATGGTTGGATTAACAAGGAATAAAAGAGTTTTAAGATGAATAATTTTATTAGACAGAGAGCGGGCATTGAACGAAAGAATAAGAAACTCAGAGTCATCATAGTGAAGCAGGTTAGAGTATAAATCGCAATTGGTAGTTCCATGAATACTCATAGGATTAGCTAAGGTAAGAGTCGTGTTGCGAGGGGAAATAGATTCAACCACTTTGTCATCATGTGAAATATGTTTACCGTTGCCGGCAGGAAAGCCGGCGGAATTACAAAAAAATTCTTTTCATTGCTATTGGATATAACATCTGATAAGGGCATACTGTACATATTGGGAGCCGGACCAAGAAGGCTATCAGGTCTATGGTTGTGACCAAGTGGCCAATTACAATTCAGATAACTATTTATACCTGACGTATGGGTAACGTGTTTAAGACGTTTATTTCCAAGGTTTGTGGTTGATTTCGGCTTCTTCATAAGTTGGAGAGGATTGTGTACTGTTAAACATACTTGCGATGGTTTGCGAGGTTCGAATATATCAACGTTAAGTGCGTGGTCAGTTATATGAATGTTATGATTAGTTTTCCTGTTATCCGTTGCACAGTTACTGTAACTGGGTGTTGCACTAACAGGGGTTTGGATTGTGTTATCCCATTCTTCATCAGCACAACTACTTCGGGTTGAATCTAAGTCAACATTCTTAAGAGGATGGACACCACCTACATCGGGATTACTTTCTTCTGGGTTTTGAACTTTATGAGATTCAGAAGAGTTTTTTGGTGGCGGCAAAGTTGTTAAGCTAGACGTCCTCTTAGAATCGGACTTAACGTTACAACCATTAGGATTATGATGCATTTGAGAGTTTGAAGCTGATGGTCTGTAGTTATCTCTTCCTGCTTTTCGCTGGCATGGTGTTTTATCCGGAAGAGTCTTAATATCCTTGAAAATCTGTTTTTGTCTCAATGAATTGGAGGAATTTAAAAATTCACTGGCGTCTACAGATGAGTTGAATTTGAACAAGATCGGTGAGTGCATACCAGGATGACTTCTTTTTAATCTTGTGCATACACATGGTACGTGTGTCATATTGCTGGCTCTAAGCAGACTAGATTTGATATTTTTAAGGGCATGTGTATCCGGTATATTAAACACAATTGCATTGCTAGATCGTCTTATTCTTTCAAATACCTCTGATGCAACACGATCTAGGAAAATATTTATGTCATTCATTTGATCTGGAGTCTCTGTGAGGTTGGGGTTGATGAGATATTTAAGCGGATTGAGAATGTTCATGTCTACTTGCAACTTCTTTATAGCATCCATATAGTTGCAGTTGCGATTATCATCACTGTTTACCATCAGAGTTTTCAACATGTCTGGAATGGAGACAACTGGTAAAAGCCTGTCTGCTTCCGGATGAACGGAGTGGCACGTCTCGTTGAAACTGTTGGAAATCGTATCGGTAGAGGTGTTAAATTGTGTCGTTTTCCTACGTTTGGCTGAACGCCTAGGAGCAGGGGTCTTCATTTTCTTTTGTGACATGATAAAGTGACGTATAGCAAGTGGTTTGAACAGAATGTTGGAAATAGGGGTGAAAAAATCAATTCCGAGGGCTCAAGTTAGTCTAAAAATCAAAATCTATGTTTTAACCAAGAGTGAATGTATCGTGAGGATTAGTGGTGTTAAAAACAAAAGATGACAATGGCAGGAAGATAGTAGTGGAGATGAAGTATTTATGTCAGTATCTGTGTGGAGGCAAAATAGAATATAAAGGAGCAAGTTGTATAAATTTTAACATATATGACACGAAAGATAGCCTTATATAGTAAAGTAATTTAGAAATGTCGATAATTAGTATCAAACAATCAAAAAAAGTACGGTATGTGATACATATATAAACTGAAAGTCCGTATTAATAAAAATTGGGAGGTGCAGAGATAAGTAGTTTAGAAGATTATTACCGTCTAAAGTTATTATGTTGCTTCTTGAACAAATATATGAAACAGCTTTTTGGAAAAAAACACTGTCAAAAAAACAAACTATGACAGACTCACCGAATTGGACAGGTAATTTCGGAAATGAAATAATTTATAGTATCCAAATACGATTTAAATGATAGTTAATAAAATAGTGAATACAGTCCTTTAACATACACGGTTATATATATTTCTTGATATTAGGTAGAGGTTTGAATAGATCCTGTAGATACATAAAGTACGTGGGTTAAAGCATTCAAATACGATATAATCATATATTCCTTAAGAAATAGAATACAGATATGAAATGCAAATCTTCGTCAAATATGATTATATACGGTTTCAAAGTATAGTTTGATCGTATAGTCAAAATGAATATATGTAATCATATGATTATGAATTATTGTATGAATATGATCATAAATACTGTAAGTTGAACTCAGAACTTATCATATGGCATGAAATTCACAGTTTATATGCTAATAGTTAAGAATAGAGTTATTTTCCATAATTCCAAGAAAAAATAATTCATCCAGCTATGCGAGAATCCTAGAAAAGTGAAACTAAAAACCTCGGCCTGAAAGTAACGTCCAGTCCGTAGCGCGCGGTATCAGTGTTGTTGTTCCTTCTCTAGCCTAACGTCGTTCTACATCATGTATTAGTAATTGATACGATACAGTGAGTTGGTGTGGTCGATGGTGTGACTTCCACGTAAGATCTTATAGATTAGGCAGTTATATCATGACAAATATACAAATTTAGGATTAGGTCTATTATTAGAGCAGTACTAATATCATAGTAGACCATAGTTCTACAAGCTATCAAACACTCCCACTTTCCATTATACTACCCCCTGTCAAATGGCCAGCCAGAAAGCTTTGTGGATACGTTAAAATGACTCAACTCAATCCAAAATGGGGGGCGACGCCGGTCAAAATACCATAGAACTTCTTATTCGTTTACCGAACGACATCGAATGATAATTTACGAGAACACGTGTGTTCGGAAAGCTAAGTCATGTCACGTATGAAGAAGAGGTTGGGCCTTGTTGCGCTGACATTGTGTGCAGTTTCTTGTCCACCTTTGCAAGACCGAGTTCATTTTCGACTAAACCAAATTTCTGTAATGACTTTTGCTGTAGTCAAATCGCAGGGTATTATAGTTCATGAAGATGTTGAGTTACTCTTCGTTGACCAAATTTAGGGACAAAAGGATGGTCGTTACCTGCTGAAACGTCACAGATAATGGACGAGGCAGAGAAAGGGATCGGCACACGTTCTAGAATCACGTTTGACTTTACTCTGCAGGTTTTTAAATGTGTCACCTACGTGAAGCCTGACCATAGCTTTGAGATTGTTATCTTGTTTTTGTACCAGCCTGTTGGGTCTTTCCATGATAAGCATCTGCTACGATAATAGAACTGAGTGTCGTTTGTAAATTGTGAGAGGAAATTCAGTCGTCGTGCTTTATTTGTTGAATGCCGATCATTTGACGTGTTGAAGGAATAACATAAGAGTTTATGTTCGGTCACAATTGTGAGCACACGTCCGTGTAATAGGGAACTGAAACGTTTTATTGCCAAATAAATCGGCAGTATTTCGCATCCGAAGGTACCATAGCGTGTTTAAGCTGGTCACAGACGTTCAGTGAACAATGTTATAGGTTTGATGGTGCCGTTGACTCGTTATCGTAGTGCTGCCCCTACGGCTTTTTGGGAAAAATCGGAGCACAGAATTAGGTAGGTCATAGGAACATAGTTTAAATCTGTCAGCATAGCATTATTTATCATCATAGACTGCGTTATCAAAAACTGCTTTACGACGAGTGGTAAGCAAAGAGCTTTTTTTCCTCTCTGTATCTTTTCGATCAAGCCTCACAAGATTAGTTAGAGATCGTAATGTCGATGCACAAACAGGTGAGAAGGGGTGATAAAAGTTCGAAAAGAATGTGTATATGCTGTACATGTTCTTCTGTCGAAGAACCGGCGGCCAAAGTCACCCAAACTAACAAGTGCAAAATTCAAAACTATTATGATTTCACCCACCAATTATCTGACCATTTGGGTGGCATTCACATCCCGAAAAGCAAACTAAAGAGTGTAGTTGTGGCTTTTCTTTGATAACCCTTGGTGCTATCGTAATTTGCTGACATGCTGTTATGAGGTTCAGCTCGTAAAAAAACTGTTTTTATGTAAGTTCAAAGAGAAACCATGTAAATTTGGAATCGAGCACTTGTCTAGGGCGGTCGGTCTATTCACAAGACGTTAAGCAGCACGTGGACGCCAGTCCTGATCCTCCTTGAACACTATATGCAACGGAGGAGCCTATGGACTGCTAGAGTCCTGGATGATGCCTAATTATACCATATGTTAGAGTTTTCTCTTAGCATAATATCCGGGGGTAGTCTACGTGATTCGGAACTGATTGGTGGATTCATGGTAGTTATGTCGTTTCTAATGTGATGCTATATGCGTTCGTTTTGATAGTTGAAATTCGTAATAACTACGTACACTGATAGAAAATCGGTTGAAACTTTGTTCGTCACTTTTACTACGTGAATACCGTTAATTTCACAACTACCAGTGGCACCATTTACTTACAGGTAAGTGTGCTTATCTTTCAGCTTTTATTCATTCATGCCAGCCAATACGTTTTAAGCACTAAAAAAAAACAGCTCCAAAAATCCGTTGTTAACTTGTGAAACCGTTAGTACCCACAGAAAACGCGTAAGTACAAGGTGTGATATTAATGGCTGTTCCCCGTATGTTTTAACAACACTTTCGTTGGCAGCCTGTGGTAACACATTTTTGCCTGAAGTGTGTCACCGTCGTGACAATGCCCTTAGGGTTATGCTGACCTCTGCTTCTGTGTCGACCGAAATGTCTGAGCCAGGAATATTATTCCTGACATGAGAGAGACGACTTGTTGTTTGTCATGAAACGGTTGCCACCATTCCTGTCTTACCAACTCGTTTCCCTGACTATCACCGCCGAGAGGTATAAATTTGTTCGGTCTCCTGCTTTATAATTTTATGATCAATGTAGCTGATAAAATACCAACCTAGCTCAATAACCGACTGAGGGCTGTATCTTCTGTAACCATTTGATCTTGCCTGTAAACTGGGATGACTCATGTAAAGACTGTTATTTGGGAATGAATTATTATTATCATACACACAGGAAATTATGCTGGGCGTTTCTTAAATCATCAGGAGTAGGTGCGTTCAAGTTTCCTTTGGTCTTGTAACCCACAATTAAAAGTAGTTGATAATTTCAACTATGATTGCTACAATCCGAGGTGTGTCTTCAGACTAACCGCGTAGTGAGAATATCCATGTGATCGATAAGCATAGAAAGAAAATATATCGTAGTTTTGTTAGCGTAACAGTTGATAATTGAGAACAAGAAGTAAATGTATTTGTCGGCGATAATCAATGTGTCATGCAAGGGGGTTTAAGACCAGAACGGAAGGTCAAAAGTCATATATCTCAAAACAATTCTACGGTCAGTAGTTGTAGCTGTAAAAATTATGAGAATTAATGAAACAATGCAAATGATAACAAAAACTAATTAAAAAATATGTCTGTGTTAACTATCCCTGCACATTTTATCTTCAAACGTATCGCAGTGAACTGACGCTCTTTCACTGTCGTTTCTCAAAATTTACGGTGCAGTGAAGCTTGACGTTGAGTACACGACAGCCGAACCCACTTACAGCACAACACTTTGTCATCCAAAAGAATTCGTAGATCCTTTATCTTCAATAGGTATGAATCTAAAATCCAGCACGAGCATTCAGTTAAACTTGTTTTCACTCGGTCGCATTTAACTAATGTTTTCGTTCAACCTGCTTTACAACTCAGTATACACGTTTTCTTACGTCGTGATTGATCACAACAATCCCTCAAATTAGCATACGAAAGACTCTTCAGAGTCCTCCACTGCAAAATTTAAGTACTATATCATTGATGAAGTCAGAACAAACGACTACGTAACCACTGACTGTCTTAAAGTTTCTTGTCTGTGTAAGTATTATTACGAGCCTCACGATAATGATGCCATCCCTGATAGTGAGCAACCACAATCATACTTCGGAGGTACCCGAAGACCGCTGCAGAAATATACTCTCTGGAAGAATGGTAAGGTTTCCCTAGAACATAGACAACTACGAATGCAGTACATTGAAAAGATGGTCTTTCGACCCCGTTTTTGCGCATCGCAATCAATAATAGTGTATTCTCAAATGACAGCATGCTACATGAGGTATGGTAGTTTACAGAAAAGATCAGATTATAAAAAATGCTACAGGCTTCACTTTAATTAGTTGCTCTGTGAGATTGATATGTGACAAGGTACATTTGTCATGGAAACATAAGATATATTTTCATACAATGGAATAATAATATTAACAGGACTCTAATTTTGTGGAGGTCGAGTTGCAACAAGCAATTGGCGGACGAGAATGAATGTTATTGAAGTTCAGAGATGTTTATAATAAGACGTCTTGCAGTGAATGCGTAACCAGTCAGTGAAAGATGAAAAATTTTACATATTATCTTGTGCTTTTTTACAGTGTTATCTGATACATTCCGGTGGTATTGTGGTGGACCAAACAGTATATTAACCGAGAAACAGCAATAAAATTATTACGTCCAAAAGTTAATGTAGCAATAAACAACACACAAAATAATAACGCGAATAAAAGTTTAGGGACGTTACTTAAATCAGCAGGTTTGCGCTTTTCTTGTTGATCTTGGTACCATAATCCACAATTATAGGTAAATAATATTTCCAATGAGACGACATGGTTCCAGTAGTATATCCGAACGTAGAATGTAATGTGAATATTACAACAGCCTATAAACATAGATGATAGTTAATTAATCGTTCCGTTATTACATCCACAAAAATGATACAACGAGAGACGTATGTATAAAAGTGTATTTGATTATGAGCAGTTAACTATGTCATGCTATGTGGGATTCAAAAACGGAAGGAAGGATGTAAGTATTCAAGGTCGTATACTTAAACAACAAGTGCAATCGACTAATGATAAATGTACAGATTGTGAGAATTGGGAAGATAAATGCAAAAGATATCAAAAACTATTTACAAAATAGGTTTATTAAGTCTGTAGCGTGGTATCGAGTCGCGGTAGACTATGAACACCGCTAACAAGGAAACACGTGCCAGGATATGCATAAAACCCCCCGGAAGCCAAATATCAGAAGGCAGTTAATGGACCAAATCGAGATTTATTCACTGGCGATTTCGTGGTATCGAAAGGATACCGAGATCGTGCCAGGATACAGAACTTAACCGAATTCGCGCGAGGTCACAATCGAAGTAAGTATAATGGACGTTTTTAGCACAGTTAAACAAAGAGCACATTAAAGCAGTCACTGGTACAATTGGTTATAACAATAATTGTTTTCATTGAACTAATCGTGTTCTCGTGATAAAAGTAAGTCACTACAAGTCTATCTCCACAGAGCTCCCCCCACAGTATCTGGAGGTAACACTAGGTTTTTAAACACAAAAACAAAGAACAATGCAAAAGTGGAGTACATGGCAGAAATATACAATGTGTTAATGTACATTGATGTACTCGATCACAACAAAAAGGAATTAAAATATGGTCAGTGGATGGTTAGCTAATAGGAATACAGTACAAAACAGTTGATAAACTCATAAAATAAAAATGGGATTGTTTATTTTTATGTACTGTTAATGAATAATGAACTACAGTTCACCCGTCAATTATTGTGACAATTTTTCTTATTATTAAAAAATTGACAAAACAAGTGATTGTGAAAAAATGTAATTAATTATATGTACATGTAAAGAAAAGAAATAGCTTTTATTAGAAAATTAAGTAAATTTAACCTTGTAATATGTATTATCGAATGTTTTTGATTTTATTAGTCTACAAAATGTACATAACGTTTAGGTTTCTTTATAAGTCTACCGGAATGTGTCAAACAACAAGGTGTAGTGCTAAGTTTTTCACAGTAATTGATGGGAGGGATTGTTTATTCGCAGTGCTTTCTTCTTTGTCTTGTGAAGTTTCGTGGAAAGCTGGTTTCATTCTGTCTATAGAAATCGTCTCCTTGTTCCCGTTTCTGTTGACAATGAAGTATTTGTGAGTGCGTTTAATTACTTTGAAGAGACCCTCATATGGTGGTTTCAGTAACTCTTTCACAGCGTCTACTCGGACGAAAACAAATTTGCACGTTTCAAGATATTTATCAAGTTGAACTCGATTGTTATGTTCTCGTGGGGATATTGGTGTGATGTTCTGCATCGTTTGCAGTAAGCGGCTTACAAAACGAGAAGGATACCCTGGCGTTGTAGATTCACGATTGACCAGTTGTCCTGGTAACGTTAAGGTTGTGCTATAAACTAGTTCGGCGGCAGTGCATCCGATGTTTTCCTTTATAGATGAACGAATCCCAAGAAGTACGAGCGGTTCAGCATCACTCCGTTTGAAAAGTCAGCTTGTGCCATCAGTGAGCTTTCAACTGGCGATGGAATCTTCCAACCATGTCATTAGCTGCTGAGTGACAAGCTGTTGTTTTGATGTGGTTTACCTCGAGAAGTCTAGTGAATTCCCGAAATAGAATGGATTGGAATTGGGGACCACGGTTTGTAGTGATTATCGAAGGTTCTCCATAGTTCGATATCCCTCGGTCAAGGAAAACGGATGCTACTGTTTCAGCAGAAGTCTCTTTGATAGGGCATACTATAGCCCATCTTGTAAACCTGTCCACCGCAGTGAGAATTTGGGTGAAGGAATTTGTCGGTAGCAGGGGCCCAACTAAGTCTAAATGAATATGTCGAAAACTTTTGTCGGGTATAGGGAATTCCCCGATTAGACTAATGGTGTGTTTTTGGATTTTGCTGCGTTGGCAATGTAAGCAGCCACGTGTCCAATGTTTAACATCCGAATTGATTTTTGGCCAAACGAAACGTTCTGTATTAGGCCTTGTGGTAGCTCTGATGCCTGGATGCGACAGTCCATGTAGCTGTTGAAATACTTTTCGTCGACAATGTTGTGGCACAAAGAGGCGATTATTACCCGTTGAAGTGTCGCAAATGATAGATGCATCTGAGAAAGGAATGGGTACAGGTTTAAGATTCAAGTTAGACTTCTCTTTGCAGGCCTTCAATTTTGCACCGTCTACTTGTAGTCTAGCTAAAGCTTCAAGGCTGATGTGGTTGTGTACCATCATGTTGATATCCCTTCTAGACAGAGCGTCTGCGACAAAGTTGGAGGAGCAAAAGCTATCAAAAACTATCTACAAAATAAGTTTATTAAGCCTATCTCCACAATAGTCAAAATAGATAATTAATTGTATGTATGTGATCGCATACGCCCTGATTTCATTATCATGCGATAGAAAATATATCGTTCATACGTAGATATTCTTGAAGGAATTTATCTTTCGTAATTCTAAGAGAAAACAATTCGTTCTACTCAATAAGCTCATTATTTTGTCACCACTCGAAATATGTTCGTCAGAGATACTAAGCATCATATTGCTAATTGTCTCGTAGGATGATTCAATACAGATAGTGATGAGACTTTTGTGTAAGATCTTATAGAATATGTAGTCGTATCATGACATTTCTACGATTTTGGGATCAGGTCTATTATTACAGTAACAAAGGTAAATATACTAATGATGAGCTAGACTATAAATCTACAAGCTTGTATCCATCTCCACTTTGGATTGCTTCAACTGAGATTTGTGGTTGATATAAGAACTGTGACCTACAATCGCCTTATTTTCATTGCTAAACCCTTCGGATTCTTTGACCAACTAATAAAAATATACGGTCCATTACCTCACGTCTTAAAATGGTGTACGTTGGAGGACTCAAAGTTAGCTTAAATTGTTTGAGAACCGAAGGAGGGAGTACAGAGAACAGATCTGGGTAGTGAATACCCTTGTATTTTACATTTTGTATCGTGAAATAATGCTTTATTTGATCAAGTCATAATTCAAAGTCAGTACGATCGAATACCATCTATCTAACGGTGATAAAATTTACTTATGCCCCAGGCTTTCACATTTTATTAAGTTTTTCATTGTTATATATAACAAATGCATTAATATAATCTGGTATAGAATTATTCTAGCAGGAATACTGTGAGTTAAAATACGTAAATGTATGTATGAAATGTGTCATCGGTTATCTTAATAATCTATCAAATGGTTTACTTTTACGACTAAATAAGGAAATATGTGAGACGAGAATTTTTGGTGTTCATAGCTGAGCTCACCGATCCGGTGCTGGTAGCTACCTCTTGTTTTATATTTTGAAAAAGGCAGACTAGTGTTTGTATTCGGCTTTTGTTTAAGTTGCAGAACAGAACAGTTGAGGCTCATGGTTATAATGTAGACACACAACCTTGTCAAACCTGAATACAGGATAACAAAAAATATGTTGCCTACACGACATAAGGAAGCTGAAACATACTCGGGCCATGATGTTTGGACATTAACGAAAATTATTCGTCCAAATCGAAACCACTCAAATTAAGTTGTCATAGATACACAAGAATTGTCTGACATTCAGTCCCCAAGAATATCAAACTATGATACTTCAAACAATAACGAAAAGTCAAGTCGACTACTCCAGAACTATGAGGGAACGCTGCGTAGGTCTTTTGTAGACAGAAACCTGGGACGGTAGTACCGACCACAAAGACGATGTAGCCAAAGCCCATATCGCTCTCTGCTTTATTAGAAGGTGACTGGGCATGTCGATTCCTATGTTGTCTTTTGAAGTATTCACAATCAAAATTCACCCATATCTGAAGATTTACCTCCTCTCCACAAAAGGGATACGAATCTCTTGGAGGGGGCCCTATGAAGTGGGCAGTTCAACTAGGTAACAAACAATACCAGTCGATTTCTGCTCACCTCATACCCTTCCGCCTCCTGCTATTTGTTGTCTTTAGACAGTTTTCTGTTAACACTATGTGCTTAGACTATTTATTTGCTCATTTCTACCGTCAGCTCTTCCAATATATCCAATAAATTTGTGACGAGCGTGTATAAACTGATTGGTTTCCCCGCGTCCACTTCTCATTGTTACGCGCCTCTACATCTTGAATTCTAATTTCATAAGATTCAATTACGCATAGAATTAACCTTCTGAGCTGTAATATGGTAGCTGATAATCCTAACGGCTCCACTGCCTTAGAATAAACACGCTCATTAACCTCAATCGACGACTGAATTAGCTAACAAATGATGCAACCGAGTGTCTAGGCTAATCGGAGGGCCGTAACCGTGGAGAAGCTGATGAAAAGAAATCAATCAACTTATGGAATTTCGCTTAAGGGACATTGAACGTTAGACATTGAGGCTGCATCTAATTGTGTCGCTACTACGTTAAGTTGTTTCGGACGTCGTGTTTCGATTTCAAGTAAGAATGTTTGGGTTTTCTCCGAAGGACTGATTCTACACACTCTTTTCCATTATTAAGCTATAAAAACGTGCTGTTTGCATACAACTGCCCAGAGGTCTAGTTTGAATGCGCGTTTGATAGTTAGCCTAGTTAAATGTTGACGTGTTTGCTCAATAACTAATGCTAATCTGGAGAGTTGATTGAGTTAGACAGATTTTGACAAGACATTTTTTGGATATTGTCTAAGTCGCTAGGATCTTGAAAATGTCCTTCCCGAGTTCAAGCTTTGAATTTCTAAACAAAGCTGTCTATAAGAACATCGTATAACAAATAGTGGTTAATAATACCCTCAATATGAGATAAAACTCATGTTCATTTCTTTGTGGTGGCTTTGGCATCACGAGGTCAGTTTACATGTATCCCATATAAACCTTACATTGACAGGGTGCTGAGCAACAACGTTTCGTTATTGACACTATTAACAAATATAGTTTAACTAAGTCTGCGCTGTTTTTTTCCGACACATATTCTCTCACACTGTATTCCGTTCTACCTACCTTACATTAAGCTTTCAAAGATGCCAATTTGAAATGTTCCACCATCAATTTCATCTTAGGTTGTGGTTAGGTTAGGTTACTAGTATTTGATCATAGGTGTCTTCGAACATTGCTCGTATATCATGGGACCATCGAGTAAGTAACACAGTTGTTAGGAAACGGGTACTAGGTAAGGTTGGCAAATCAATTGATGAAGTAGTGAAACTTCATCAGTTGAGATGGCTTGGACACGTGTTACGTATGCCCAACCACCGACTGCTTCGATGTGCTATGTTCAGTGGTATAGGAGTAGGTTGGAAGAAAGCTAGGGGCGGCCAAACCAAAACATGGCACAAGTCCATGAAGTCACTGACAAGTGAACTGAGTCATGTTGGTAGGTGTAGACTACCTGGTTGGGGACCGCGAGATGATAGCAACCGATGGTTAGAGACCCTGAATGACATGGCTCAAAATCGTTTGCAATGGCGCAGGTGCATCCACTCTCTGTGTTCTCCCAAATTCTAATCTTCTGAATCCTTCATGTCCCTTTTTCCTCTTTCCAAATTTATTTCATTGGATTATACTCTTTAAATAACATCTCCAAACACTAATCTTCCCGATTACTGCTTATACTCTTATTACCTCTACCACTACGGGATTTGAATCGACCACTGCATCTGTGTGCTAATGTGGTGTGGCAACTCGAACTGATGTACGTACGTACGAAGTTCTACGTTGTTACTGACTGACTGACTGGTTAGGTCCACTGAGTTAATTTGAAGCACAGGAAGTGACGTCTACTGAAGAACATCGGTTACTTGTGGATGTGTAATACATATTGGATACAAGACGATATACATGCTTGTAGGTAGTATGCGTCCTTATCGTACGGATATTTATATGTCCTGCGTAATCTCTTTTTGTATTAGTTGTTTGTCTTTCTATGAACTATCGTTTTCACTTCAACAAACATACTTCTTTAATATGATAAAAGCCTAGAATGTTCGTCTTTCATATCAACTTGGTGGCCCGGTACCGGTCTGAATTCCTCAAATGCTTCTATTATTTGTTCTCATTTAGCTGATGGGATATATCCATTTCTTTCCTTATTTCCCTGCCAATCATACTATTTGCGCTCGGTCTTTTAATACAATCAACGCCATTACTTCCGCCTCTTTATTCATGTCGATTTCATCTCCTGACATTATAGTTTGGGAGCGGGATGGTGAATCTTGGTTTCAGGCTTTGTGTTGATTATTTGCAGACCTTCCAATTATTTCCATGTAGTACTTTATCTGCAAGCCATTCTTCAAATACTAAGAATGTACCTACCGGTTTGTTCGTCATGTATTAAAAATTGAAAGTATTCCCCGTGTTTTAGTGTAACATTCGTCATTTTTTGATTGTAATCTTGTTTATTTTCCAATTGTGTTTCAGTGTCTCCACCAAATCACCGGATACAACAGTAAAGTGCTTATCAAGTGCCAATTCATCAAGGTTTGACAGGTGTCAGCTAAATGGGCTCAATCTTTTCAAGACGCAGAAATCGGTCAAGAACTACGGAACAAGACAAAGCTATTCTGAGGTTGAAGAGGCAACGTGACAAACTCAATCAGTTGACCAATAAGCTAGATAACCGGATAGAAAATGAAAAAGTTCTTGCCAAGGAACTTATTAGGCAAGGTAAAAAGGAGTGAGTTTCTTCGTTTGACCCTTGTGATGACATTAGAACAGGTATCTGAGTCATTAATATTGTTGCCATTATTATTAGTTTTTGATGTTGCTTATATATCTGAGGGTTTGGATTTCTGCAGATAGTCCTAATTCGTATTTTTTTCCCAGGCGGGCTCTGTTGCTGCTGAAAAAAAAGAAGTATCTCGAAAACCTCATTCATGAAACCAGTATTCAACTATCAAACATCGAACAACTTGTCAATGACATCGAATTCGCTCAAATAGAAGTGGAGGTTTTAGATGGGTTAAAGTGTGGGAACAAGGCTCTCCAGGATATCCATAAGGTAATGTCGTTAGATGATGCAGAACGGATAATGTCAGAAGCTCAGGATGCTGTGGAATATCAACGTGTAAGCTGTTCCATAGAAATTGTTCATATTGTATCTTTTATCAGGTTTAGTATCCATTCCCAGCTATACTGTGTTGTATTTGAGCGAATAACCCAGATGTTATTAGTTATGGGCGTTAGCATAAATATTTTTAGTAATAACCCGTGAAATTAATTTCGATGAACTGTTGGGATAGAAGCTCGCATAAATCAAAAATCAGTTGTGTGGTTGTTTTGTTTTAATGTCAGGCCGTTGTGTGAATTGATTATATTGTTACGTTTAGATACTCAGGATGTTAGTCATAAATAAGTGTGTAGTCTACTGTATACATTTCCGATGTGAGGTTCAAGAAATTAATATCGATTCTGAGTAACAATTCTGTTGAAGGATCTTGGATTGTTAGTAGTTTTACTTTGCCGCTAACGTACGACAGAATAATTACAACGGATCTTGGAAACCTGCAAAATTAAAGCTTCCTTTGTCGAAAGCTAAGAGATGCTTTACCTAAAATAAAAGATAAGATCCCGTTTACGTCTACACAAAGTTGTGTAGATCGTAATGCGTTCTACATGGGAGAGTCTTTCCCGTGAGATCTCAACTTGTGCCAAACAACACGTAAGTTACTCAAAAAAAGACCTCTTAGTGATCCTGTAGATTTGCAAAATCTACAAGTGAAATCGACAATAACAGTGGATACCATTCCAACAATCACCAAATTGACACTAAAAATATCAAAATGGTTCAGAAACGTTTTTCCAACTATGAAGAGAGATGACTAGCCGAAACGTTTCTCATACTCTTAAATCCCTCTGCCCTCAATAGAATGGAACGCCTGACTATTCATCCAACCTAGACTGTTTATCCAAACAACCGCATTTGACCCTATTCACTTTCCACACAGTCTACACACATACACTCTATTTTAACTCCACTACTTTATATTACATGTGTATAAATTTCCCACATCCAACTTCTTACGCACAAATTACTACAGTGATATGTCATACAGAATCACCCTGACCAAAATAACTTGATATTTACACGTTCAGACCTATTATGATTTTGACTGTACTAAAAATATTCTGCGTTGTTTCCTTTGTACTATTTAAACTTGTGTGTTTCATTTCGGTCATTTATTTACTCTGAAGTGGTTTGCACTAAGTTACGAAACATCAAATACGATTTTCAACTGATCGGAATATCACGAAAATATATTTATTGTTATAATCGATAAATGTTAACTATTTTTAATTCCTGTCTTAATATGATTCGCACTTTGAATTATGTATTTAATTAAGAAATATCGTACTACTGCTTCTTTCAGTGCGCATGACTGTTAACTGTTTAGTTTTAACCGTTTTCTTATAACTGTCAAAAATATTATAATGTGGCGTGGTTTATTTACCGAATGTAGGATTATATACTCAACTTTAAATTGATATTTTAGTGTGGGGCCTAATTATGCTACCAGACTGCCTCAAACTGTGGTAGATACAATCGAATTGGGACCTGTGACCTATTTGTTGAAAGTCGAGTAATTTAATCACCAAATAACTGGAGTAAAATAACAACTTATTGTAAACATATCGAGAAATGACACTATTTTGAAGTTACTTCAAAGGACATATTTTTTTTTTTAGGAGTTAGATGATATCGTTTCTGGCGGTCTGTCCTCTAACGATTACCACGAAATTGAGTGTGAATTAACTCGTCTCGTAGAACCTGAAGTTATCGATCTCCCACATGTGCCTGATCATCCCATAGATCCGTTTGTTGAAAAAAAATCAAAAGGTAACTCACAGAAAGTATATGTATGTCTCGTATTATTTATGTTTGGTTACTGTAAACTGATACTGATACACACAGAAAGGTAGTGTTTTGTGCTCAAAAAGAAGGTTAAATATTGAACAAAACTGGTCAGTATAATGTCATCCGTGTAATAAGTAGAGATTATTGTTCTCACTCAGGTCTTTCATAATACATAAGAGTGAGCTCCATTATGTATCATGTGGTATAGTCAGTTTGCGATTCTCATAACTGTATGGATGAATAGCAAAAAATAATCGTACGTTCAGAACCTGAATTTATATGCATTTCAAATGCTGTACTCATTACCTTTAGTCGTCTGGGTTCATGAGTAATCGTGGTAGTGTTGGGAAATTCATTCGAGATATTAGAGTTTAATATATAGCTTAACTTCTAATGATTGCTAAATAATTACATAATATATTCCTGTTATGTTGTACACAACTCTTATTGAAGTTGTGTCAGCAGGACAATGCTTTGATTAATGTATTTTGGAGACAAGATCCATTTTCAACGGACCATTGCTAGTAGATGAACATTCCTGTGTAGGATGTCGTTAATATACTGACTTCGATTGTTCGCTTTTTGGAAAATATGTTTGCTCGCTTCGAATTCTTGTTTTGATTTGGGACCAGTTGAATGATGTTGTGTCCAAGGAATACTAAACATTAGATGTTATAGGTTGTATTTGTTTGTGATGTATATGAAACTATTCTGGTATTCTAACCATCTCCTTTTTGAGTTCGTATTCAGCTTACCTCTTTCTAACAAAGTATTTGTTTAATTTTTTGATGCAATTTTAAAAGTTACTTTTTTAACGGATGCTCTTTTGTTGCACCTATAATCTTTAGCTGCTCTAGTCATTTTTGCTGTCAGACTTGTTTTAGAGGAATTGGAAATAGGTCACATTACGTACTGGTCATTGTTTATTTGAACACATAAATATTGGTACAAAGTGGCACCGAATACACAAGTGACTTGATTTGTGTATGGGCTATGATACTACCCGGGTGCTCAAACCGAAGCAGGTGGTTTGCTTAGGGGACCACACCCGGGGCTTTCGACCTAAAGATCTGATCCACAAGGCAGTGGATCAACATCAGGAACTGTAGTCCCATGGTAGCTGGTGACCAATAATAGATTCATACGCCATTTGTTTCGTCAGGTTACTGGAGCCCATGTGCACCATTGGTTTGGAAACAGGGTTTTCCAACTCCCCTAGGTGGATCCTCCATATCTACCAACCCGGTTAAATTGCTAGACATTCGCTTTTCGTCCTTTTAATTTCGCAAACAGCACCTCCACCACGAGAAGGCAGTGAGTAGGACTTCCCTAGCAGTAGCTGTATACGCGTGGCCATGTGTGAGCATTTCGAGAGGGTGAGCGGACTCTCCCAACTCTCAGCATTTGAGGGTTACTTTCGCTTTTAGTCTGCCATTTTTGTTGCTTTTAAATATCACAATTGTTACCATATAAATAGAGTTGTACCATAGTTTTGACGTCTTGTAATAGCGAGCTTGGAGTCTTTTTCTATTTACAAAACGTATCATTTGTTAGCTGTTTTGTATCACGTAGCATAATGTCACAAATGATTATCATGCTTCCTTATTCTTATTTGAAGGTTGGTAGCAGATGGTAAAGAGCTCTGTGCCTTGGTTTTATGTTAATTTGAACTAGTTATTGAAGTAAATCTATGATTCTAAGAGAATCGGTGCTTTTCGTGGGATTCAAAACTAAGTCGTCCAGTATCACGGCTGATGACTATAATTCAACTATTTGGCTGGTGGCCAACTTCTCATAGGACAGTTGTTTACTTTGATAGATGTTATAACTCTTGTCTTCTTACGGTTAATGACCCAGCTATTCCTATTGCTTAGTATTCTCGGACACCGATTCACTCGACAAGTCCCCAAATCAAAACACGGTTGAACAGGAATAAGATTATATTCCAAATAGCAAGTCAGAAGCATAATAGGGAAAAACGTCAGTATATTTATAGTTTTTACATAAGAAGATTCCAGAATATTCTCCGACTATCGACTGGTGCTGATTGGATAAGAATCAGCCAATCAGCGTGCAGCAAAGCAATCATGCATTGAGCATGCTTTAATCTAGTCTATGTCCCGCTAACACCTCCCCTCTGAGCAGATTCGTAGGATCTGGTGCTAGGGTCCAACTGCAACCGAGTGACTGGCCTGTGCTTTCGATTAGTCCATCGTCTAGGCAATAGAGAAGTATCACTCTTTTCTTGCACAGAAACTGACGTGTCCATTTCAAAGGTGTCTAGCAGAACATCAAGAGGTAATCGATATTGAATCTTGTTGCTGGCTATCGAAGTTGCTTTCAATTGGTTAGCATGACGTACCCAAACTTCCGAGCCAACTGACACCTCGTAAACCACACTCCCCTTCTTTTTCAAGATCCGACCAGCTGTCCATGTAGGATGTTTCCCACGATAGTCCATAGCAAGCACTTTTTGTCCCACCGTGAACAATCGTCTTTGTGCCCCATGATGTCGGTTAAACTGATTCTCCATCGATAGGTTTCGTTGGGGTTCAATAGCTGGCGTAGGACGGATGACATCGGAATGTGTTCGTATCTTTCTTTTCAGTTTTCCTAGTAACCTTTCACCTGTCTTCTTTGGAAGTACTGGGGTGTCCAATGATGAACACGATACGTTACAGACACTGTTAATTGGTACATCCATTATTCCAAGTTTGTCTAACATATCTAGACCAAGAAGATCAAGGTTCGGCCGTTCTGTTAGGTAACATATTCCTGTACAGTTAGTTCCATTGAAGGAAAATTCACACTGTAATTCACCAACCAGTTTTAGCACACCACCTGATGCGTTTTTAGCCGTTTTCTTAGATGGCTTCATTGGCGGTTTACCCAGCAAGTTATACGTTTCTCTAGACACTAACGTGATATCTGATGCCGTGTCAATTTGAAGACGAGCTGATATGCCGTTTATCTGGATGGTAACATACTTTCTCCGAATGTCATAGTTTGTTTGAAAGGCAGCTACCAGAGAAAGAGATTTCGACTCGGCTGATTTCACATGTCGAGGACGTTTATGCTTCTTCTTAGGCTGAGACGTACGCTTCGGTGGACAATGACCTTCTTTATGTCCACGTTTGTTGCACGCCTGACATTTATGCTTCTTGAACGGACAGAATCGTGCATAATGCCAATCACCGCATAACCAGCATGCAGTCCTTGGTTTGTTACGAGTTGTTACCGGCTTCTGAACTTTTAACCTAGTAATAGTATTTACACTACCGCAGGTTAAATTAGGATTTACCTGTTCAATCAACTCGTTGTCGTGTCTGATGCTTTGTAGACGCTTACACTCATCTGTCAATGTTCTGAGTGTGACGTTTGGGTCTTGATCCAGTCGAGCTAAAAGTCTAGTCCTGATTTCAGCATCTTGTGGTGACTGAAGAGCTTTGATGAATATTAAGCATTTAAATTGGTCATCAGTCAACGAGCGTAACTTGAAACGTTCACATTCTCTGTTGACAATGTCTGCTAGAACACCATATTCATCAGCTTCGCGTTTCACCAAATTTAGACACCGATATCGAATACTAAACAACGAGGATGACTCGCCGAATATCTCTGACAACTGAAATACCGTCTCCTCGAAACTGAGCTCTCGAGGTAACTTTGGCAATATATGGTCAGCAAAACGTGCATGTTCGTTGCTTCCCAACTTACGTACCAACAATCGGGTCTTCCACGCATCGTCTTGATTACAGAATTCTGTTCTAAATGTATCTTCCCAACGTCTGAACCACGTGAGAAAAGTATTTCCATTTTCGGGATCATAGATGAATTCTGGGATGCTGCTAGCAACTGCATCACAAGACGAACTTGAAATAGCGTGTGAACTCGAGCTGTGGATGTTGAGCTGTTGAGTCAGAGTCTCCAACAACCGCATTTGTGCATCAAGTTGTGCTTGCTGTTGTTGTAGTATTCGGTTAAGCTGGTCATCTGATATAGGCATCTTGAATTTGTTTTCCTTTTTCCCCGTCGCCACTGTTATAACTCTTGTCTTCTTACGGTTAATGACCCAGCTATTCCTATTGCTTAGTATTCTCGGACACCGATTCACTCGACAAGTCCCCAAATCAAAACACGGTTGAACAGGAATAAGATTATATTCCAAATAGCAAGTCAGAAGCATAATAGGGAAAAACGTCAGTATATTTATAGTTTTTTACATAAGAAGATTCCAGAATATTCTCCGACTATCGACTGGTGCTGATTGGATAAGAATCAGCCAATCAGCGTGCAGCAAAGCAATCATGCATTGAGCATGCTTTAATCTAGTCTATGTCCCGCTAACAATAGATCACTGAGTGATGTAAGACATTGTTGTTTTGTTTTATCAGGCCTCAATTTTCTCTATCTTACGGTTTTTTTGGTATCCCGTTAGTTTTTCCCACATTTTATCATTAGTTGGTTAAAATTTGTGATAAGTGTTTGTATATCCAGCCTTGTTCCATCCTCTTCTATGACAGTTATTTCACTCGGCTGTACAAGCGAAAGTAAACAAAGTGGTTTTAGCCTGTAACCTTGTGATTTAAAATGAAGTAGTTTTAACTACCACGACACATTGCTCTACTACCATTTTCTGGCTTCCAGTCAGTTAGTTCACAGACATGTATCACTTTGTTGTCTTGGACATCCAGTAAACAATACACTTCATTTTTGTTTTTGACCAAAGCAGCTTTCCAATTTACCTCAGTTTTAATTTTCACATCAAAAGTAAACTTATCTGTCTCCTGATGGTTTAAGACATTGATAGTATATTTTGTCAGCTTGTAAACATAGCAGCGAGTAACTTGCTATACTCTACATTCATTTTCACATTTATATATAATGCAGAACTTTCGTGTGCAAAGTGTTCTCTGAGCCGGATGGTTTAGTTGTAAAACTTTGGTTGTTCTTCTGAGGAAAACCACCAGCACAACTTCCAAAAGGAGTCTCTATTTTCACAACTAAACCACCTAGCTCAGAAAACTCAACAATCCTCATCCTGAGCTATAAACATCCATCTCAATTCTCATATTCACTACATATAAATTCATTTAATCTGTGCATTATTTTAGATCCTGCACGCAGGGAGCGAAGCAGAGAAGCATTAGCAGTTGGTAGTTAAATTGAAGATATCATCAAGTCATTTGGTATGAATACAAATGCTTCAAGTATTGACAACTGAAATGGAACAAATTATTTGTTTATACAGTTGAATTCACTTGTTTGTTATTTATTTACATACAATGCTTTCCAATGTACAGAAATTTGTATAGTGATTACTTCATTATTACTATTGTTATGCTTACCCCTTTCTTCAATCATTAGCATAATATATGCATTATATTAATGTCCTTCCTTTTGCTGTGAAATACAGTATGCATACCTATTCATCATTTGGTACTACTTTCAATGTAGATTGTTTCTTATGTGTATGTGTGTTTCTGTATGCGTTACACAATTTGATCACATTTCAGAGTAATGCACGGATTTGTAAGTATGAAACCACTAGTAAAGCACTTCATAACACGACTCTGCTTGAAAAACGGATATCTTGTCTTCATCTGTTTTTGGAAAAAATGAAATGTAATCTATAGTTATAAATATTTTTTAAAGAGTAACCACAATAATAAGGCTAATATTTGGATGAAGAATATTCTTTTCGATAAATTCTATTCAAGTTGTACAATTATATATCCAAATTAATAATCTCAAAAGTGGTTGGGTTAAGGGCAAAGTGCATCGTTTAAAGCATGTGAATTTATTTATTTATTTTATTTGAACACATAAATATTGGTACAAAGTGGCACCGAATACACAAGTGACTTGATTTGTGTATGGGCTATGATACTACCCGGGTGCTCAAACCGAAGCAGGTGGTTTGCTTAGGGACCACACCCGGGGCTTTCGACCTAAAGATCTGATCCACAAGGCAGTGGATCAACATCAGGAACTGTAGTCCCATGGTAGCTGGTGACCAATAATAGATTCATACGCCATTTGTTTCGTCAGGTTACTGGAGCCCATGTGCACCATTGGTTTGGAAACAGGGTTTTCCAACTCCCCTAGGTGGATCCTCCATATCTACCAACCCGGTTAAATTGCTAGACATTCGCTTTTCGTCCTTTTAATTTCGCAAACAGTAATAGCTATTTGCCGACCGGATTTCGCATGTATGGGAAATATCGTTAATGACCCTTTTCCATTTATGCTCTAGAATTCCTAGGTTAACTCGACGTTTAAAATTTTCTGTATCCAACAGTTACACTAACACTCGGCTTCTATCTTATGCTTCTTAAGAAAGCCGCTGGTTTCTTTGTATTGAATTTATACACTAGTTTGTATATTGGACCACAGTTTCAAGTTGCCTTTTTGCCCTAACTTTAAAACTAATCACATCAATCTTAGAAGGATTTGATTTTTATTTTGTGGCTTAAATTTGTTGCATTAAGTCTTGAAGTTTGATAAAAATTAATGCACTGATTCGCCAGAAAGCATAGCTGATCTACCTTGAAAATAGAACCTATTCGTTCACATCAGTCTAAAAGTTCACTTGGAGTACTTAACGTTACATTTTATGAATCTGTAGCGAAGGTGACAAATTATTCGGGCATCTTTATCCATATCTTCATGTTATCTATTTTTACGGTCTTATTATTTAGTCATCATTATTTACATTGGAGTGGTTATAAATAATGTTAAGGTATATACTATCTGGCTTGCTGTCCCGTTAGTTCAAAGATTACTGAAACCTTTCATAACGTTATTTTACTGCAAACATCTTGTGTTGCCAAGGTATTCTGTACATAAGTTCTCTTATTTATTAGTCGCTTGAGAATGGTTCATAAAGTCCTACTCAGTCAATTATAATTATTATTGTTAATCTCGTGTTAGTGATTTTTTCTAACTCGTAATACCTCATTTTTTAAAAACTAGGTACAATATCTGTAATCTATGTGATACATGGACCGTTTTCGTTGGTGCTCAGACGATGTTGAAAATTATGGATCAACCAACCAAGATAGCCTATATGAAGAAACAGTAGTTTTACAAAAAACTGGCGTCCGTTTATACGATGGACCTAATCGAAGTGCTTTCGATGGCGGCTTACTCAAGCTGACGACTCATCGTATCTTATGGTCTGATCCTTTAGCACTGACAAGTTCTTTTATAGCTCTTCCATTGGCTGCTATAATTTCTGTAAAGGTTGAGGAGGGTGGTGGTAGTCTAACAGTAAGCCGTACACCGAAATTGATTCTTCGTCTGTTAACTGTTGCAGCGCTACAAAATTTATTGGCAAGTTTACCGAATCCTCCGCAGTGGATTGAACACTGGTGTGAAGGTGTTGGAGGTTCTGGTTCTGGAATCGACAGTATCACTTTTAGTGCGACTGCAGTTGTCAGCTATTCAAAAGAAGATTATGTCAAATTAGGCTTTCCAATGGCTGGGCATCATGAATTTCTACAGTCTCTAAACGAAGTTCTAAAGGTACATTTACAAAGTAATATATTTTTGAATGTGTTTTATTTAGGGTTAGTAAATTGTAATCGGTTTAATATAATATTGTATGAATCTGAATTTACACTTCACGTGTGCTACCTGTGAATTAAAATTTACTAAAAGAAGCTATGTTTATGATTGTAAAGTTGACATTTTTTGCTGTGATTGTCATGTAATTGTAAACATATCTTGACTATGAAGTCAGACCCCGACCGAAGCTGCTACCTTGACGTGGTGGTCGGGCTTGCCTATCGTGATGACCCAACCGAGCTATATTGGCTGGAACATATGTTCCTGTAGTTTCGACCATGCCAGGCAGATCGATTGGAGAACGGTAAGACTAAAAGCAGCAACTCAAGGTCTGAGGGCGAAGTCGTGCCGCTGACTGTAGAAGGGTGTGACAGCAGTAAGGTGTTTCCCTCTGACAACCAGCATCTGCAGCGATGCTGCCTTCCCACAAGGAGGGGTGGGGTTAGAAAACGTCGACCCTAAAAATGTCACACTTTACCTTACCTCACGGATTTCCGTCTCCGGCGGTAAGGCATTTTGAAGAACGGAGCTAACACATTAAAAACCTTCCACGAAAAGGCCGTGCACGACCAACCTCAAGGAGTTGACCTTTGGGCCCCACCGTTACGCTGCCAGATCGTTAAGACCAACACTAATCCAACTTCCTTTTCAAGTTCCTCAAGAAATACCTTTCCACGGTGTGGGCAGCCGGGAAGTGACACCAGCCGTCATACCCGTAACAGCACACGAGAACAAGTTGGTCACATTCAAATCCTTCCTACACCTCTTAATACCTCTCTTATCTCCATTACTAACCCTCCTCACGTCTCTTTATCACCTCGCATCGCTAGGGCAAACGATTCGAGTACGCGGAACGTTATTCCTGGTCTCCTGAAACCACGCTCTAAACTACACGTAGGAGCCTTTAACGTCCGAACACTGTGCCAAATAGGACAACAGGCTTCCTTAGCTAAGACTTTAGAATCCCGCTCCATCGATGTGTGCTGCGTCTCCGAAACGCGCATACAGGATCCGAGTAGCGTAATCTATTTGACCTCACCATGCCAAAATAAAGAACCGACTCGATTCACACTTCGTGTATCTGGAAGCCCTGATTCTGCTTCCCGTGGCCTCGCCGGCGTAGGTATAGCATTGAGTCCTAGGGCAGAACTATCTCTCTTAGACTGGATCCCAGTAGACAGTCGTTTGTGCGCTGTCCGACTGAACGGAACAGTAAGGATCCGAAAAGATAGGGACACTCGTCGTTGTCTCTTCGTCATCTCTGCCTATTCTCCCACTGACTGCAGCGCAGATGATGTAAAAGATGAGTTTTACAGAAAGCTTTCCAACCTTCTCCGAAAAGCTGGGCGTTCGGATGTAGTAATAATGGCTGGTGACTTTAATGCCCAAGTAGGTAAACTAAGCGATAGGGAAAGACACCTGGGTGGATCTTATAGCATCGTGGCTCAAAGAACAGATAATGGCGACCGTCTGTTGCAGCTATGCTCAGATAACCGCCTCTTCCTTGCAAGTACTAACTTTAGGCATAAGGAAAAACATCTTTTAACATGGAGACCACCTAATTCGTCCCAACGTTGGACCCAAACAGGTCACATCGCTATCAGCCACCGATGGAGGGGCTCGATAGAAGACTGTCGCTCATTCTGGAGCACATGCTTAGATTGAGATCATGCTATTATTATTACTACTATTGTCATTATTATTATTATTATTATTATTATTATTATTATTATTATTATTATCCACATTATTCACCCTCTTTTATACTTATACAGCGGCTCGTCTTTGGTGGAAATTCGACTGTATCTAAACGTTCTCGAGTCACTGTCCGGTTGAAAATTGTATGTTACCACTGAATATGAGTACTGAAGCAGTTTTTCTGAAACCACTTGCACCATTCAAACTGGCTGCCTTCAACGTTCGCACATTTATGCAAGTCGGACAACAGATAGGGCTGGCTATGTCTTTGGAAAGTCTTAATATTGATGTTTGTTGTCTATCCGAGACCCGTATTCAAGACTCTGGTGAAGTACTACAAATTCGCTCTCCATCTGTCGCTTCGAAAAGCTTGTTTTACGTGCGCTTATCCGGGGACCCTGTGGCATCTTCGTCTGGTCTTGCTGGCGTTGGTGTCGCACTAAGCGCTAGAGCTGAGGCAGCACTAATCGATTGGATCCCCATTAATAGTCAGTTATGTGCTGTTAGATTGGAAAGTTCCATCAAAGTGAGAAGAAATAGGCGTGAGAAACGATGTCTTTTCGTCATCTCCGCCTATGCCCCGACAGATTGCAGCCCGGATGCAATCAAGGATGAGTTTTACCACCAGTTATCTGTTCTTCTCCAGAAAGTGCGTTCGACGGATATTGTAGTACTAGCCGGAGACTTGAATGTTCTACGTTGTTACTGACTGACTGACTGATGAAGTCAGACGTTTTCTTAATATTTATGGAATACTTTTAAAAAATCTATTTTAAAAACAAACGGAATTTTTCGTTATAAATCTAGGTAAAACTGTGGACATTGTCTTATCATTCAGATTTTAAATTGACATCCAAGTCGTTTGGTACTGGAGGTATTGGGGCAATTCAAAGACAACAAGCTGCACGTGCTGTTGAAACTGATCGTAATATTACCGAGGCTTTTGAAGATTTGAATCAACTTATGAACAACGCAAGTGAAATGGTTAAATTAAGTCGTCTGTTGGCTAAAAAAGTTCGCGATACAAAAGTAGGTGTGTTTTTGTTTTTAAAGTGCGAACAAAATATTTAGTTCTTTTCATTATTATTCGTGAGGATTCATC